GCTACTTGCTGAATGTTTATTCTGGTGGCAGATGAAGAAAGGGTTCTTTTGTCTCTTCCCCATGGGTTGGGACCACTGAGGCTCTGGTCATAAGATTGACAGTGGGAGGCAGACTCATAATCAGACTGGAGCTCAGTTATGGACAGCAAACCTGCACTACCAGACTTGGAGCCAAAAGCAGTGATGAGAGACCTTTGATTGCATCCCCGGCCCTGGCCCAGAACTCTCTAATTGAGGATGTCCTGGGGATGTTTGAGAGTGGGTTTAGGTGAGTAATTGTTTTGTGGGAGGACAGAACTACTATCTCTGAGCAGAAAGCTTTAGACAGGGCCAGGCAGATTATTACATCTCTGCTTACTTCCTGAACACTCAACAACCAAACTCAAGCACTCCCTAGTATCTACATTTAAACACAACATCCTGGGATCGGGTGACCCAAGCACCTCAGAGATAGCCTGCCTCTGAGGCAGTGGTGAATCTGTGCATGGATTACTTGACTGCTCAATGTTCAGTATCAAAGTGTTTTCTGTGATAAAATTCCCCTCAGATCAAGATAAAAAACAAGAACATAAGGTTTTTGGCTTTATTAGCTAGCACAGTATCATTCATATAATTCCTAATGCAAAATCTTGTTCCAAGAATTTTTTTCAGCTTGCACTTGGTAAGGAGGTGAGTTGCAATATCTTGTGGGTTGCCATTTGGTGCCATTTAGGATAAGATACACGGATGCATGCTTTTAGACTTCCTCGTTTTAAACAATCTTAATCTTTGTTATCAGCATGTAACATGTAGGGTTGTGAATATGAGATAGTCATAGCCATATGCTACATCAACCACCACAGGGGGTAGAGGCCCTGAAAGGACCTCAGGTACCAGAACTCATGAAAGTCTTCAAAAAAGTGCACATGGTTCTAGTCATTTGGTAGGGATGCAAATGACTCAACAGGAACACCAATCTTTTGTTAATGTTTGATGAATAAGTCAGTAAATTTCCCAAGAGTTTGTGGTTCTAATTGAAAAAGAGAATAATTTTCTGGATGCTGGCAGCTCTAGGTATACCATAGGCCACAATTGCCTGCCTACAAATTTCATTATTTAAAAATGTAACTTACTTTTTGATGTGTATTTTTCAACTCCAAAAAAATTTGAAAGAAAATATAGACAGAATTTAAAACTATATAGTCAGGGAATAATGACACATATCTCTAACCCCAGCAGGTCAGATGTCTAAAAAAAGGATTTAAAGTTCAAGGCCAGCTCAAAAATGTAGTGAGATCCTGTCATGAAATGAAAAATAAAAGTAAATGAGAATGTAGATGAGTGGTAAAAATTCCTGAGTTAAATCCCCAGGACTAAAAAATAAAAATAAATATTTAACAATAGTATTCATAGTTTAATGATAAGAAGGATAATACACTTCAGAATTTAATCTAACATTCATATCTATGAAAATTATAATGTACATACAGATGTGAAAACAGAAATTTACCTGTGATTGAGTAATTTATGACTACTTTTAATTGAAATCATTCCTGGATTATATGGATTATTTAGTTATTCAATTTTATAAAAATTTAATATACTAATTTGTAATATTAATGTATTTTTATTATAAGATATATTAGTAGTATAAAACCCAAATATATTAAATCTGTAAATACAATTTAAATTTAGAAAATACTTAATTGTCTGAGGCAATTTTTTAAAACACATGTTAAAATTGTTTAGACTAACTACTACAATTTATTATCACAAATTGGATTTTGAGGATAAAGGAACCTCCTCAATTTACAAAAGCCTAAAATTTTGAAATACAGATGGCATGGCCTTACTCATCTTTAGCATTAATTTTTACATTCAGTCACAGTGAAGGTAGTTTTAAAATCAGTGTTAAATGTGCTCCCTACTTAGGCAATAATTTAGGTCTAGTGAAAGAACAGACACAGAGTAACAAGTTGCCTTGGCTGCGGAGAGGTGTGTAATGGTGTAGATTGCTATGGAATAGAAACACAAGGAAACCATTCCACATGGGCTCACATAGGCCTCACAGATGACCTTCATCTTTACATGTATATATGAAGACCCCAGAGGTAATCTGAGAAAGGGAAGAGAGTGGTCCCCAGGTAAGATGAACAATGACCATGAAGGAGGTACCTGCCATGGTAGCTCCAGAGTAGACCCCACAGGAGGTGCTGCTCCCAGAGGGGCTGGTGTCCTGCTAGGGCCTGACTCTTCCTAGAGCAGGACTTCAGAGCCTGAGGATATAAGGTCCATGGAGATTTTAATCTTTTCAGACAGCTTGTTTGAGCCAGAAATCTGATGGCTAAAGTATTATCCAATCAGATAAGAAGATCACAGGAGGTTGTGAAGAAGTATAAGGCAGTGCAATAAGGGAGAATGAAGAGAGGACCTGAGGAAGGGGTTCCATCAACCTGATGATAATAACCTCTGCTGTGAGCACAGGGAAAGGGTTAATAAAGTATGACTCCAAGCTCTCAGGGTTGGATGACTATGAAGAAGCCAGGGGCTCCATGGACTGAGGAAGGAACACAGGGCTAAATCCACTGCCTCTCTTTTATTTCTCCCAGGTCATGAGGTCTGTCAATGGCATTCAAGGCCAGTCCAGGGATCCTGAGGCCCAGAAGCAGAAACTGCATGATGGTCTTGAAAGACACAGAAGGAACAGCATCACTAGAGAGGACACTCAGGTCAGGAATTATTACTTCAGAGGAAGAAGGAACTAAAAGGAGAGACAATGTTTTCTAGATATAAACAGCTTTTCCCCTTCCCTCCCTCCTTCCTTCCCTGTCTTCCGTTAGCTATGATACTTAGGTAATGTATATCCTCTTGTGATTTGATTAATTTTTTTAAAAATATATTTATTTGATGTTGATGACATTTATTTTATTTTATTTATTTAGTTTTTTGTGGTGCTGAGAATTGAAACCAGTGCTCAAGCCACCTCCCATTTCAGTTTCCTATTAAAACAGCAATGAAATTATCCACTGGAATGATTAAAATAGTCAATGATGATACTGACATCAAAAATAAACAAATTCTAAAGCTGTCGTTCACTGTGCGTTCAGGTACCTGAAAATATATGTTCAGGCTAGTACATGCTCAATTATTCACTAAAGCCAAGCTGTGATTGACTGCACTGATATGGTCATATACTCTTTCTTGAAAGAAGGGATAAGCCATGCAAGTGAGGATATTAGCCTATCATTTTAACCACTTTCCTCATTGAATTAAAGCACAGTTTCTAATTGAATGTTTAAAAAGAGAGTATTGTTTCAATCAGATTTAATATTAGATAAGTAAAATAAGTCTATTTTATACTTCTCATGTTCTGAGGCTTTGGCATATTTAAATATGTTAACACTAGGGTTTGAAAAATATAAAGAGCAAGAAAACTTATGTTTAAAACTCTTCTTCTTTCTTTGTT